GCTCGAGAGTGCCTTAGTAAATGTGCGTGTTTTAGTGTGTGTTTTGTGATGTAGCTATTTAAAGACATCTTGCTTTGTATTTTTGGAACAACTCTCATTTTCCAACTTTTACGTTGGAAAAATCCTCTCTATTTCCTTTTTCTTTTTTGGTTTGGAGCTTTATGAATCAAGTTTTCCGGCGAACTTCCGGCGACATTGTTTTGAGCAAAGTTTCACGCTTTTGATTCCGTTTCTTCTCCCGAGTGCATGTTGGAGTGGGTAACTTAGTCTTAAGCCCCATTACCTCGTATATCTTTATTGCTTTGGTAAATTGATATTGTGCTTGAGATTTTGGAAGAAAAGATTGTTGCTTTGGATCATGAATGTTTGACTAAGTGTGGTAGGAGTTGAATTCTTGCTCGATTCATGCTAGAGTTTGATTTTACTTCCTAGTTTTTTTAGCGAACATGGCAATGGTTGGATTTTTGCGTGCTTTTGATCATGATGACTCCGGTGAACCAAAATCCCTATTTCCCCCTTGATCTCTCTAATCTTCTTGCGTGCTTTACTTGCTTTCGATTTCAATTTCGTAGATTAGCTTAGCTTAGCTTAAATCAACCCTCAATTCAAGCGATTAGCATGTTTAGGATGTTTTCGTTTGTGTGACTTTGACGACTAGGTAGTAACCGAAGCTCCGAATAGCCTTCCTTTGAGAACGACCCGAGGCCGGGTAACTCGGTTACCAATACCCAAAAATATACTAAACAGACTGGTGTGTGGAGCTTTTGAAATTCTATAGAGCAAGAAGGACAACAAAGTGGTTGTTAGTTTCTGTCAAGTTAGCCTCATTTCATGAAAATAATTTATTAGATGTTTTTCCTTCATTTAACAATCTGTTCAGTTGTGTGTTTACCAGTATCCTCTCAAGTGTTATCTACTTCTTTTAAATAAAGTAAATCATTTTGCCTTTAGGGTTTTTGGACTGGGTACCTATTGATTGCATTGAATAATTTTTTTTCCATTTAGGCTGTTTATTTATGTGAGTTTAATAATTTATTAATTATCTGTAGTTCCTTAACTCTACGTATTTCTGCGTATTTCTGTTAATTGTACGATTTCAACATATTAAGTCATTATTAAATATACTGGTTATGTAATAGAAATAAATTACATTAAATAAAAACATGCAACTAGATGTGTAAGTTAAATATTACAACAAAAATAAAAATAAAAATTATTAGCATTTTTTTTTCTTACAAACAATAATACAATAAATAGTGAAATGTTAGAGAAAAAAAGTTATCCAAATGGAACATTTAGAGATTTGTCAGCGTTGTCTGTAGCATGTTAAGAGCAGCGCACCTTGCATACACGCACATTGTGTCAGACTGCATTAGTAGAAAAATAACTTTCTCAAATATACATGATCATCTAAGACAACTATGATACTGAGAATAATTTATATTATGTATTTAATTATACAAAGACCAAATGGTATGTTCACCATGCCCATGTGGATTGACATTTCTTCAGAAACATTCCTTCCACATAGTTTGGACTTTTGTCTATCGTTTGGGAAATATAATAATACATATAATTTAGACTTGTATAGCTATTTTGTGGCTCAAAGAACAAGAACTTAAAAACCAAAAATATAATAAGTTTACTTTATGAAATTTTTATGGAAATGGGTAGGCTGAGGATATGTAATCTAATGAATTTTGGGTCTAATTTTGTACAATTATCATATTTTGGTTCAAGTGTCCTGTAGTCAAACCTACTATACAAAAAAAAAAAAAATAATAATAATAATACAGATAATTTGGCCATATAAATAATTAAATTGTACATGCTGAAAATCAATTATATTAATTATCCTATTAAGCATTTATTGCTGCAATATTTCCCCTACTCAACTTATCTGCTTACATTCTATACTATCTTCTATGATCTCTACTTTTTTGATCATAATATATATATTTTTTTTTTACCACAAAAAGCGTTTTCTAAATCAATTAAATATTTAAGATCAATAAATAGCTATTTAATATTTACCACAAAAACAGATTATTGGTTTTTGGCTTTCACCTTCTTCTCTTTCCTCTTTATTTAGCTATTATAAAATGTATTTTATTTCTTTTGTACACAGGGTGTGGATTTAACTGCTCAGATTACAACAGCAATGCATGAACGTTGTGTCGTATGCTTCATCAATGCTTCAGCCTAAAGACTTAGCAAACGAAGCATCAACTTCGACTTCAAACAAGGTACAATGTTGACTAATACACAAAAAAATCCTCAAATTTATTATTCTGCAAATAGATTCATTCACCTAATCTACTATCACCAAACAGGTAACAGGAAAACAGCTCTTCAGCCCAACACTGAAAGATGTTCTCGACTCCCACACCCCACCACATGAAAAAACTACAGCAATGACGTCTTCAGAGTCATCAGTCAAAAAATGCATCAGCTTTGACAATCAGCAATTCTCCACCTCAAGAAACAGTACAACATGCGCCCAAATTCCCGAATCATCCAGCCAACAAACACTTGAACCCAGTACAATGTGTACTGCAAGCCAGACGAAGAAAAGTCGCCCAAAAATGAACTAACTCATGTGTAACTGCACTTTTGAACTTTTGGAAGGCACAAGTGCCATGGAACATATCTTTTGTATTTTGTGTCTACATTCCCAAACATTTAAGACATCTATTCACATATAGATATTGCTGCATTTAGTAGTTGCTTAGTGGCATATAAGCGGCAAACAAAACTAGAATTCAAATCATCTATTTACATATAGATGCTCTTGAATTCTAATGCAAACTTGGTGTATTTTTGTATTGCTTACCTACTATTATGACTTTTTATACGCTCGTGTTATGGACTTAAATTTTACACTTGTAATGGTTATGCTCTTAGTGTATTTAACTCTGCATAATTTTATGTACATCAAATGTCTACCTAACTTGGGCCAGCTGTGCTGTGCACAGCCGTAGCCTTCTAGTAATTTATATTAAAATGAGAAGATACATAAATGAGAAAACTCACAACCTAATTCCTAATTTCACTTATATATTATATATAATTTATACAAAAAAAAAAAAAATAAGATCGGGGCGGGGCGGGAAAAAGGACCCGGGCCTAGCCCGCTTGATTAACAGGTCGGGCCAAGCCCGACCCGTTTTAAAAACGAAACAAGTTTGGGCCGCCCTAAATGCTCTGGGTCAGGCCAGTTCGGGCCTGGTCCAGGTCGTTTTGTCATCCCTAGGGTCGGTGAATAGCTTTACATTAGTTACACAGCATCGACTGCCTGGGCTGGGCCCTCGAGTGACGGGCCCATTATTCTCAATCGATTACTCCTCAATTTTTAACGACCTAAAACATCGAGGATTCAAAGTGAAGACGCGCTACTCCTGAACTAATTTCATCCCTAAATTACAGGATTTGAAGATAAAGGTCATTGCAACTTGCTGATTTCGTTTACTTTATTATTGTTGGATATGAACATACCTTTTTTAATGCTTGCTCGCTTGTTTTGTTTAGAATTTTCTCCATAAATGTGTTTGGGGTGGGATGAAGCATTAACCTGTAAGCTCAATTGATGTTAATTGCTGCTATTTATGTTTTTCATTTGCTTTCTGGATTGTTGGACGATTAAGGCTGAAATTCTGGTTTCTTATATAAGTTTCCCTTCTACGGATATCGGTATTTATGTTGTATATTTGCTTGCAGGTTAAGATTAAGTATATACTACGGGTTCTTGTAGTTTGTAAATTGTGTTGAATATCGATCGCAGTTCAAATCTTTTAGCTCAAAGCATACAACAGCTGCTTCATGAGGAAAATTTTTCAGATGTTGGATTCTTTTTCCATCACATGTGTGCGACTTTAATATGTTAAACATATGACATTGCTCGTATTTAGTCAATGGATGAGCTAAGAGTGCTAACTTTTTGCTGTGGTTGATTTGATTACTCCAGAAAATGCTCCGGTTGTTTCTAAGGGAGCCAACGTGGGGACAGAGCAATGGGGATGATGAATTTTATAAGCAGATCAAATCTCTTCTTGATGAATTAGAACAAGTCATCTGGTCGTTGTTGTCATCTGGAGGTCGATCTGAAGCTCGGCTTTGGCTATGTAACACTATGTCGGGCATAAGCTCCATTACCCCCCAGCGCCAACGAGACCTGTTTGTGAGCCTGTTGAGATCCAAGCCAATCAAGCGGCACTTAGCATCACAACTTCTGTATTTGATCTTTGGCAAGCAGCCCCAGAAGGTGGGGCCAATAATAGCAAAGGAAAGCCACAGGCTGGAGAACTTTTTCAAAGGCAAGTTCTTTCTTTTCAAAAAAAAAAAAAGCATTGACCAGGTTTTAGTTGTATGATTAAATGATTACAGGTTTCCGTTGGTATGGGTTAATGGGTAGCACTTGACCCACTTACAGATACATCAATTGGGATGCATATGACTTGTAGATCAGTAGGTATTTGAGCGGTGTTCTGGCATTATGATTTAATAGTGGTACCTTTTGTTTCGTAAAGCAGGCGAAGAAAACTTCTGTAGCTAACAGTATTGAATTCATTCAGGATTTGCCCGTTTATCTCAAATGTGTAATTTATTATGTAACACCTTTAGTGCATCCGAATTCATTGGAGCGAGATATTTTATGTTAATTATACTGAGTGTTTCTAATAATATAACTCATATTGGTTAGCTGAATAAACTAATGTTGTGCTATATTTGTTACGAGACTTAATTTTGTCAGTCTCAACCTTTGAGTAAAACATTGACGTGATAAAAATCAAAATAGTGCAAATGTGAGATGCGTTGATCGTTGTGGATATATTTAGTGTGTCAAGCACAGTTGATTACTGGTCTATTTTCATTAACACGTTTTGTTGGGGGTACTTTTATGCATTATATAATTTCTGTTGTTTTTCGGTATTACATTTATGCAATTTCTAAGTTGGCTGCTGCTTATTCATTAGCTGTTTATCCTTCCAGGAAACCCAAGGCACATTTTGCAGTGGTTCTCTAATTTCTCTGCTACTGGCAAATCTGGACATGGTCCAGGTGCCAAGGCTCTCTCTCAATTTGCTTTCATAAACCGAGATATTTGTTGGGAGGAACTTGAGTGGAAAGGTAAGCATGGGCAGTCACCTGCCATGGTTGCAACTAAGCCCCATTATTTCCTTGATCTGGATGTTCAACGAACGGTCGAGAATTTTCTGGAGTATGTCCCTGAATTTTGGTCATCTCCTGAGTTTTCCGAGTCGCTAAAGGATGGCAGTATTTTGTTAGTCGATACAAAATTCTTCTCCAATTTGTTCATTGACTTGATGTATAAGGACAAACTTGAAGAAGTATGGGAACTCATAGAGGATTTCCTCGTTGAGCAATCTTTTTCATTCTTATGCCATCACCTTCTTATTATCCTTGAAGAGCAGGAGTTGCGTGAGTTCCTAGATATGATACCAAAATACCTTAAACTGAATTCCGGAATTTTTGGATCGGGAAATATGCTTGAGTGGTTTGAGATTATACTTTCAAAGTACGGTGGTTCGGGCACTGTTGATCATCTACTTCTTCTAAATGCGGTGACTAATCAAGGCCGCCAGCTCATGCGCCTATTGCAGGATGAAGGCAGTGAAGAAGAAAAAGAAAAGATAAAGGATTTGGTCTATCAACTTTCTGAGTCTACAAGCTTTGCCAATGATCTAGGGTCAGCAATGGAACAAGGCCTAAGGAAAAATCCATTAGAATATGTAAAATTTTTAGGTGTGCATTCATGGGCTATACATTTTAGACTAGCTGAGGAACTCCGTACCCCCGAGTCCTGGGAGTCTCTGTTTATCAGCAATGGGATAAATTTCCGCAAGTCTGACAAGTATGCTTTGGTAAATGATGATGAGTTTTCTGGCGATTGTGGATCAGATTATGACGGAAAGTCTTCAACTAATCGAAAATGCAAGAAGCATAAAAGGCATAAGAAGAAAAGAAAAAGAAAGTCTGATCGTGCTGGAAACTATGGGGATGAGTTGTGTGATTTTGATTTATCATATAACAGGTTAGATCTGCAATCCAAGGGGGGTGATTGGTTGCTCTCTACTGATGGATATTCAACTACATGGAGTAGTGTAAGTACAAATGTGTCTTCAGTATAGCAGAACTTTTTACTTTCAGTATTTACATTATCTCAATCTAAATGCGAGATTTAAGAGGTTGATGCATCGTTTTGCTGTTAATGTAGCATTTTTGTTCCATTCAATTGTGAAATGCCATAGATTGTTGGCGTATTTGCCCATAAAACAATGTTAATAATTTGAGTACATATTGATTAGAATAGCAATAATGCATTAGCTAGTTTTTGGCTTCGAAGCTTTTATATTATCTACCAGATAACCATCCCTTTTATCTTACACAAGACATTCTGGTTAATCAGTGATGTTATAGCATTATTCTCATTGAGTATGATGTTTTGTAGGTGGATTTGCCTGATCATCTTTCAAGGCATTGCTTTATCACGTGGTTGAAGTGGGCGTTTGTTAAGTGGGGCGTAGTGTCTTGATCCTTAATTTTCGGACCTCAAGCCGAAAATTCTATGTTGATGAAGTTTTGATGAAAGCCGCTTAGGAGCTCGGGAAAAGAAAACTGATGCTGCAGATTTCTCTATTCCCGCACCTCCGTTTATAAATTGCCATGTGCAAGTGCAACTGAAATGACTAAAATGAATAATACCTGCCTGAGAGGGGACCCTATGGTTCTAGAGATTTAAATGTGCCTGGATATGTTTGATAACTGGAGAGGGATCTCCTTCGGTTTAGAGACTTGTGCAAAGGTACAACATTGTTTAGTTACTACCTTTTTTGAACTTTATATGTTCGATAATTGTTACTTTAAGTCTTGAACATTAATGTTATATTTAATCCTGCAGCAGCTTTCGAAGTGCCACCATCCTGCATCTACCTCTGTTTGTTTCATCGTCTTTAGTGGAGCTCAAGAATTATGTCAAAAGTTCGTTGTAAAGATTTCTGTGCAATTATATTTTAGTTAATTACATTTCTGAAATCTCATAACTATTGGGAGTTTTGGTCCCAATCAGTGTCTTGTAGTAATAGGGTAGCTGGAAAGGGACTTTCAGAATAGCATGTATACAGAAAGACATGTAGCACATGATTTTACAACGCGAACATGCCGAATAGGTTTTGTTTCGGCCTATCCTAAACTAGGAAAAAAAAAAAGTAGATTTGCTTCGGTCATCATCATAGCCATGTGTTCAGGCACATTAGCCAAAAAATTTTAAAAACATTGGAATGATTTTAAATTACGCTGTGAAGCTCCCTCCATTCACCATTGTTCTCAAGCTCTGAGAAAAAAAAAATAAAAAAAAAATAAAAAAAAAATGAGAGACAAATAAGTGGAATCTTCAAAAAATATGGCTCGACTTATCTTCATTGTGAATATTTAAATAATGTTGAAAAAAAGGAGTATTGATTTCTAGAGACCAAAAGCAGTAAGAGAACTCTCATGAGTTTGGCAGTTTTCATTCATCATGTATCCTACGAAACTGGAGAAAATTTGATTACTGAAAAGACAAACCTGGCAAGCTGACATATTTGGGGCATGATGTGTCTGAATCAGTCACGCGATGTCCGGTTTTGGTAACTCCACAATCCCGAGGCTGCAAAATCGTCTCATTGTCAGAAAGATTGTATTTTATGTGGAGAAACAACAAGCAAAGTGAAGCATCAAAACCATAGAAGCAATAACAAGAATATTTCTAGTGGAACGAATGCTTGAATTGAAGTAGGAATCGCGAGAGGAGATTAAAAAATAAATCAAAAAATAAATCATGGAAGTCATTATTTTAAAGAAGTCGGTGCGTTAGGAAATGAACTGCAACCAGAGTTAGTTGCAACCAGAGTTAGTTGATCATGCTCATGGGAGCTGATAAGAGCGAAATCAGAAAGCTCTTACCTTGAAATCCTTATAGAAGCACAATCGGAGTTCCTCAACAGCATCACCTGAGCATTCAAGTTCTGGAGTGGCATGGAAAGCATTTTGAATTGCTGAAATAATGCCTCCCAGAGGATACTTTTCAGAATTTGATGCCACATAACCAGCTTGTCTCAACACTTCCTGCATGATGAAAATACACATGACAAGACAAAAAGAAAAGGACCAACAATTGTTTATAAATGAAATTTATATACCAATAGTGCATAAATATTGAAGCTCATTGTCATTGGGTGTAATTTTAGTAGAACAGAATCTGCTAGAGACTTGGAGCACATGCGTTCGAATATACAAAGCACGATAAATATAATCAATCCTTTAGAAGCCTAATCTGGTAGAGGCAAATGTCGCACTTATGTTGTGAACACGAAGTATTACAATGAATAACATAATCTTACCGTGACATTATGTTTGAAATACAGATTAAGAACTTTCAGAAAGTAGTCATACTCATCCCGTACGACTGGAAATGAACAAGGTCCATGTTTTTCTGGAAAACAAACAGAACAAAGGAGATAAGTCCAAACCCATCTGAATAGACTGTAACAAATTACTTCTTGAGATGTGACACCTCTGAAGATGAAAGGTCGAAATAGGTAAATCTATTTTGTGCACTGTGGCTTGAGAGTCAAAGATGAAGCTTTAACAATCAAAGGAGAGCATGGTATGGACAAGGAAAAAGTTAAAACATATGACAAAGGTTTAACACATTTTTAACAGTTTTGTTAGTTTCGTCTTGAAAAAATGTCAGAAATCTTTTAGTAACTCTTGCAACAAGGCACACTGCTATAGAAAAACTCGACACATTTAGTTACCCCAGCTTCAAGAAAACTCAAAACACAAATATTATAAGCTTCATCAGACCATAAATGAACATTAAAAAAACAAAGGAGAATTAAGGAGTTTCAAGACTTACCCCACTGCCTCCAGATGAGTCCCAATCATAACATGAGAGAAACAAGGAAAAGCTATTAAATTCATGCACTCGTGTGTCCACTGTAAAGGAAGTCCAACAGTCGATTAACGCACCTCATGTTCCCAGAATAATCCCTTTCCACCATGGCAGTTTGATGGAGAATCACAGCTTAACGATGGCCAATACCTGTTCAAGTCCTTGAGCAAAGTTGAAATCTGCAATGATTAATAAAGTATTCATTTAAACAGGCACGGTTTCGTTTCTGAAAATTCTTCCAAGAAAAGAATGGATTGCCTACAACTAATACATGTAATACATATCAATGAATTATAATAAACCTATGATCAGAAAAGAAGGAAATGTAGAAGTGTAATAGACAAATACTGATCTTCAGCCAAGAGGATCAAATATCAATATCACAATTTAGCCTTTAGTTAACTAGAGCAAAATGGTGACTCCTTGTTAAAAGAGCCATGAAAAATGGAAGCTTTCGCTAATTTTGTTCTTGGGGACAATATGAGCTTCCTGGGCCTCTTGCTGCTTGGTTGAAGCTGAATCCTTGCAACAGTGTTCAGATGTCACACATAAGTAGCTTCTCTCCACATGGGATCCTTAATATTTGGGGAACCTCAACACACCAAGAACTTAGAACAACCGACAAAAGGTACAAACAACACGTGGTCCCTACTTACATAAGGAATTATGCAGAGATGTTATAGAAACTGCAAAACAATACCTCTTTAACATCAAATCTTTTCCCAGAGCAGCAAGCCGGCCAAGTTCCATCATTAAAATCAGGCCAAAGTCCATCTGCACAGAAGGAAACACAGCACGTATATCGCAAATAGCATGGAATAGATAGAAAAAATTATCTCAAAATTAACTGTCTATATTTGGTAGTGCTACTTCATCCATACACATACAACAAGAGCAAACAAAAGAATACATTCATAATATAAAATCTCATATGCTGAAAAGATTACATTATAGCTGTATTTTAGATATGTTTAAGAATGTAACACAGGGTGACTTACGGATTGTGAACTCTCTCGGTGCATCCAAACTGGAACAAAATAAAAAAAAAATTAAAAAATAGTAAATGTATCTCCAGAATGATAAAAGTAAGATGAAGTGACGTATAACTCCAAAACACATGAAAATCGAGAAAGGCATGCATTTTCTTGAAGAGGGGAAAAGAAAAAAAGGAATAAAGGGGAAGCCGATAACTAAGTATTTTTTTTTTTAGTTAATAAAACAGTGCAATTCTTTTGCCTGCTCGGTATCATTTACGCACCAGAGGTTTCGAAAGAATACTAGACATTCCTGACGAAAAATTCACACAGAATAATAACAATTTATCGGGGATGAGATGATCAGTATTTTATAACAAGATAATAACTCACAACACATTATCGAGAATAGAGCTGTATACATAAGTTTGCATAATCATAGCCCACAGAATATTATGTGTGCATAGAGTTTATCAGACATATCCAATATTATCATATATAAAAAATCAACTTAACCCCTTATTTTCCTTTTCAAGCCCGAGCCTATGAAGTTTTACAATCCAAGCAGCCAAAAATGTTACCTTAATTCACAACATAGAACAATGGTAGACACTTCCCCCTTATAAGAATCCATACTGAAGCATCTAATAATAGTAGCAGCATTTTGACATAGCTCAACTGAATTTAACTATGAGAGACCAGACACCGTGTAAATTCAGGTTCTTAGCAGGGTCAAGCCCAGGTGCCATTGAAGCATTGACAACATATCTAATACACTTACAATGAAGAGAGAATAATTACCCAACTAACAAATAATCAACAACCTCAAATAATCACAGGGCCAGGAGATGAACTAAAATTGGAAGGAGAAAAAAAAAAAAAAAGAAAGAAAGCAGAATTTATCAAAGAAGGAATTATTAGTTTATTACCCGCGACAACAGGCATTGGAGGAGCAACAACGGCGAGTTGCGCGGCAGGCAGTGCCCGGCCATTGGAGGGACAGCATGAAGTAATCAAACTCCCTCTGTTTATCGCGCAATTCTCCAAATCTCTCGCCGAGATTGTCAACGGCGTTGACTCCCTTGATGCAACAGAATCCGGCCAAAAGAACGGAAACAAAGACGCATTGCATCACCAGTCGGGTGGCGAGAGAAGCCATGGCTGTGGCGTGAAGATTCGTGAGCCTTTTTTCTACATAATATTTG